GAGGAGTAGGACGTCAGATATGACGCGCGCGCACCTAGCTTGTCCTCCCCCCCTCCCCCTCCTCCTCCACCTCCTCCTCCGCGCTCCTTGTCAGGAGGGGCGTCACGTGGTGCGACGTGGCTGCCCGCTCCCGTTGAGGGGTCAGCCTGGCCAGATGCCCTGGGCTCTGGAGGCCCAGGGTGAGCCCCAAGCCTTCGGGATGGGGATGACCATTGTTGGCGGTGCGCACGAGGGGGCGGAGGGAGGGGGAGGGCTTCTTAGAAGGAGGCTGCTTCCTAGAAGGCGCCGGCCTTGCATCTGCAGACAGGGCCCGCGCCTTCCGAGGCAGGGGTGCTTCTGAGAATGTCCGCTTCTAGATTCAGGGTCGGCAACCCCATCGGCATCGGGAACGGAATTCCACGGCAGATGTGTAGCGTTCCCAGTCGGGTCGTGATCATGGGGCAGTATGAAGGGGGAAAGCAAAGCGGCATCTGCCTGGCATGTTGTCCAAGGGGCTTCTGACCTTTTCTGGTGGATTTTTCTGCATGCGGGACACGGCCAATATGTTGAAACAACGTCGTGCCAATGGCACTGCGCGTGTTCTCGGTTGCGCGTAGGATTGCCCTTTTTCGGACGATGCCCAGGCATGCGGGGCATCCCACGCCTCCAGGAGACAGTCTCGCGCCTAGGTCGCGAACTCTTGCAGCAGGGTCTCTGTGCCCTGTAGCAGAACCGGCTGGCCGTGGACAGAAAAGCGTGCACGTTCTCGTGTTTAGGATCTTGCTCCCTAACTTCGGCGATAGTTCCAACAAATGCCCACTTCGGGCATGCCGTGTAGTGTGCTGTTTTCGCTAGCTGTTTGCTTCAAGGTTGGGCGCGCTTGTGTGTTCTGTCGCACTTAAACTTCGAAAATGGCGTAAGTATGTGCTCGTCTTTGCTGGTAGTGCCCGTAGGTTATCGCATGTAATATCCATAGTCATCTCTTAACTTCATAGCACATGGGTCGATACCAATCGTGGCTAAATCAAGCCTTTTTGGCGAGTTTGGTCCCAAGAATGAATTTTGTCTATCCGCGCATCGGTCGGTTGTTCCCGCAGGAACCAGCGACCCATGTCGTCTTATGTCTTGGCGGCTTGACCACAATACCGAAGATGTGGGAGGTCATCGCGACGGTGATCTATCCAAAGGCGGCAATTAACATGCGACTTAAAGTACGAAGGTGGACCGGCAATGCTGCAGCTTGGTTGCAGTATAGCTACCCCTGCGTAGAAGACATCCAAGTAATGATTCACTGCACGTTGGATAATTGGCCCCAAAGATCGACGTTCGTCGTTTTGTCCACGTTTCCCCTGGACGAAAACCCCCTTGAGAAAGCAAGCTGCGATATGTCACATGCTCCTTCACATAATTCCAACATGTCGACGCAGCTGTTGGTGCCATAGCACTGCGTAGCAACTACCATGTAGATGTTAGCATGCGTTCCCGCGATGGCTAGTGGCATGAACAAGTCGGATTCAAAGACTTCAACTGGAGCAGCATAGCTCCAAACAGTCATGATGTCTTTACCAAATCCAGACAGATCGGCACCGCAGTCATCGTTTCCGTAGTCGATGGACCTTCTCCCAACCATCCTGTTGTGTTGGATCTTCGTTTGGAAGGACAGCGACCCGCGTCTCTCTCACTCCTCCTCCTCCTCATGCCCCTCCTCCCTCCTCCAGTGTTACCAACATTATCAGCATCAGCATCAGCATCAGCATCAGCATCCTCATAGTCATCATCACAATCACCATCAACATCATGTCCATCATCATCACCACCAGCATCATAATCATCATCAGCATCACATTCAGCATCATCATTATCATCATCCTGATCATCATCATCATAATCGCCAACACAATCGTAATCACCATCATCGCCGTCCTCATCACCATCATCGTCACCATGATCGCTGTCCTCATCACCATCATCGCAACAATACTCAGCACACACCTCACACCCTTCATGGCCCCACAGGGAGCTCTATCCAAGGCCAATGGCACCGTCCATGTGCGTCCGCGCCACTCATTTCAGCACACACCCCACGCGCTGACACCGCGTGGAGCGTTCAACATTCAACTCGGCGGCGGGCGAGGGGGAAAGTGCGAATGAGAAGGCCTTCTCATAAGGCAGCGGGACTCCTCATAAACGCTCAGACCTTCTGAGAAGCTTTCTGTGCCTTCCGGAAAAACTTAGCACACTCCTCAGAAGGCCAGGGGACTCCCGAGCCTTCTGAGAAGGCCCGCCCCTTCTCACTCCCCCCCCGGGCCCGCCGCCCATCAACGATCGGCAGCGTTTCGATCGCCAAGTCGTCCCATGCTGGCCGCTCATGGACCCCCAGCGGCGTCCGACCTTCCACGCCGGCGCTGGGGCCGTCGCCGAGTCGGCACGGGACGAAGCTGCCGTGGCATCTGCTGCAGAGACGGCTCTCGTACACCGCACCATGCCCGGACGCCGCTGCAACGCGGGACGGCGCAGCCTC